GGAGGGGAGAGGGGGAGAGAGGGAGGGAGGGAGAGGGGGAGAGAGGGAGAGAGAGAGAGAGGGAGAGGGGAGAGAGGGAGAGAGGGAGGGAGGGAGAGGGGGAGAGAGGGAGGGAGAGGGGGAGAGAGGGAGAGAAACAGAGAGAGGGAGAGGGGGAGAGGGGGAGGGGAGAGGGGGAGAGAGGGAGGGAGAGAAGTGAAAGAAATGAGAGAGTTATCTTCTATCTGCTGGTTCATTCTCCAGATGGCTGCAATGGCCAGGGCTAGGCCAGGCCAAAGCCAGTAGGCAGGAGCTTCTTCTGGGTCTCCCAAGAACTTGGACCATCCTCCACTTCTTCCCAGGTGCATTAGCAGGGAGCTGGACTGGAAGTGGAACAACTGGGACTTGGGCCAGCACCCACATGGTTAACCTCCTACTCCACAGCACTGGCCCCCAGTCTTATTTCTGAGCTAAAACTCCCCTGCGTATTCAAACGCTGCTTAGCCACGTCTACTTCTATTCAAGCTCTTTAAATTAAGTAGCATGTAACATTGTTTTCTAGAGTTGGTAGCTCTATTTTGTGTTTAAAGTGATCACAGATTATTAAAATTTTAGTAGTATGACATTCTTAAACACTGGTTTGACAAGGGATGAAACAGTTTGACAAAACTATATTTGCAGCAATACTGATAGACACAGGCATTTCTTCTTTTTTCGGTGTGTGTTTTGATTTTTTTTCTGGTTTTAACTCCCACATAGAAGGGAGAACATATGCTATTTGTCTTTCTGTGTCCAGCTTACTTCATGCAACATGATGTCCTCCAGTTGTATCCACATCTGGATGCAGATGGTAGAATTTCATTCTTGTTCATAGCTGCATAATATTCCACTGCGTATATATACCACATTTTCTTTTGTCCACTCATCTGCTGATGCACACCCTGTTCTGTGTTTTGGCTATTGGGAACAGTGCTGCAGGTATCCCTCTGATACATGTTTATGCATTTGGGGTATGTACCCAGGAGTGGGCCTGTTGCAGCATATGGAGAGTTAGCAGCTCTTAAAAGGTGCAAGTTAAAGTCAGCGGGAGTACTGAAGACGACCACTTTCTGTTGGCTCGGGCCTCACCTCACCACAGGGCCATGGCAGCCCTTCCTGCCTTCCTGGGAACACTGAGAGCAACCCTGGGGCAGGCACCTGGTACAGCAGTGAGGAGGCTGTGTGGGTCCCCCACATCTGGGGCCAGAGCACTGGGCTCCAGCTTCCGGCTAATGTAGGCCCTGGGAGGCAGCTCATGTACTTGGGTCTCTGACACCCACGTCGGAGACCTGACTGGAGTCCCCAGCTCCTGGCTCGGCCTAGCAGTTGTGGGCATCTGGGGAGTGAACCAGTAAACCAGTGGGCAGGCGATCTCTCCCCAACTGTTTATGTGCCTTTCAAATAAAATGGAAAAAAAAAGTTACCAGGTGTCAAAGTGAAAGTCTGGCTTGTAGGCTGCTCCACCCTCTGAAAAAACATTGAGTGAAGCCGACAGGTCTGGCAGCAGGCGGCCGGCCTCTGTGGCTCCAGCATCACAGCCCGACCAGCTGCACTGGGGAAGGCACACACGCCGCTCCCCAAGTCTCCCCAGCGCTCTGGTACCAGCTGCACTGGGGAAGGCACACACGCTGCCCCCCAAGTCTCCCCAGCGCTCTGGTACCAGCTGCACTGGGGAAGCCACACACGCTGCTCCCCAAGTCTCCCCAGCGCTCTGGTACCAGCTGTGACTCAGGGAAGTCTCTTCCACCTTCATTCTGATTATGAACTAAAAGTTTAAGCGTGGGCTGGCGCCACGGCTCACGTGGCTAATCCTCCGCCTGTGGAGTACTAGGTTCTAGTCCCCCGGCTTCTAGTCCCGGTTGCTCCTCTTCCAGTCTAGCTCTCTGCTGTAGCCCGGGAAGGCAATGGAGGATGGCCCAAGTGCTTGGGCCCTGCATCCGCATGGGAGACCAGGAGAAGCACCTGGCTCCTGGCTTTGGATCGGCGCAGCGCCGGCCGTAGCGGCCATTTTGGGCAGCGGTGGGGGAAGAGCAACGGAAGGAAGACCTTTCTCTCTTTCTCTCTCTAACTCTGCCTGTCAAAAAAAAAAAAATTACTTGAAAGGCAGAGTGACAGAGAGTGAGTGGGGTAGAGAGAGAGAGGGAGGAGGAGAGACAGAGAGGTTGCTTTCTTCTGGTGCTTCACTCTCCAAATGGCCTCAATAGCCGGTGCTGGGCCAGGCAAAACCAGGAGCCAGGAACTCTGTCCTGGGTCCCATGTGGGTGCAGGGGCCCAGGGACTCAGGCTATCCTCTGCTGTTTTCCCAGGTACATTTTAGGAAGCTGTATCAGAAGTGGATTAACCAGGACTCAAACAGGCCCTTCAGTACAGGATACGGGCACGGCAGGTGCCAGGTGAACCTGCCTCGCCACAATGCCAGCCCCCAAACGGTATTTTTACTTTCACTACTGTGGTAGCGCTTCTGGTTACATTTTTCATTCTCAATTAATACTTAGCCACTTTGTGCATTAAATATCTGCGGCTTGGCCTAGATACCACGCACTTTTTCTGCATAGAAAAATAAGTTCTGCGCCCAAAATAGCCACTTCACAAGCAAGTTTCTTAACCCTGGCATAACGCGGCACGTGCATCGACTGTACCTCTTCCGGCGCGGCGGCAGCGGCCGGTCCTGTGCCGAGAACAGAAACGGGGACGTAGGCAGAGGATGCGGAAGCAGCCCCAGCAGAAGTCGTGGAAACAGCAGAGGGGATGGCAGCGATGCTGGTAGCTCCAGCCCCTGCCCCTGCGGGGGACAGCAGCAGGGGCAGTGTCACCGTGGAGGGCGTCGGTGGGGCCGAGGGGTCCAGGTGGGCGGCAGGCTCTTTTCCTGGGGCGCCAGGTCCGTGCTCCTCCCTTCTGGTACTGGCGCAGTCTGTTCCTGCAGAACAAGGTCAGCTCCGTTAGTCCTCCACGACGAGGGACCGGCACTCTCGAGCACGCAGGTGTGTGTGCCACACGGAGTCCAAGACCAGTGCGTGCGGTGTGTCGGCAGCAAGCCCTGTAGGACCTGCTCCTGCGGCCGGTGAGGGCTGACCAGAGAGGCGCTCACGGGAGTTCAGCGTGGCCACACCGCTGCCAACAGCACACGGGGCCTTTGCCTTGTCACCTGGCAACCTTAAACACAGCCTGGGATTCCGTTAGGACCACCTTCTGCAATCCCACCAACCCCTGCACTCCCGTCTACTGCTCCCATCCTAAAAACAAAGAGGTATTTTATTTCTCAACTTTTCTGCAAATAATCAATCAGGAAAGTGAAAATCTTCACTTTTGGTACTGCAAGAGCAATGCGCTCCTAGAGCAGGTAGCAAGCCACGCCTGAGGATGTACGTCCATACCTAACTGCCTGGGTGCCCTGGCGTGGGACAGACTACACGGTCTCCTAACTTCAAGCCACGCCTGAGGACACACGTTCCCACCTAACTGCCTGGGTGCCCTCGCGTGGGACAGACCACACGCTGTCTCCTAACTTCAGTGCATTTCCCTTGAGAATCAGAGTGGTCAGTCTCCACTGGGTTGGTATCTGTGTGGTGCAAAGGAAAGGTGTCGTTTGGGCTGCTGAGCCCGAGGGATGTTCCGGGTCCCCGGGCGGTGGGCATGGTCCAAGTTCTCTTTCAGTGGTTTCTGTGTTGCTGTCTTTCCACCCAGAAACTTGGGCTCCGGCCTACGTCCTTTTCCTAGAACACACATAAAACAGGCGGAGGACTCGCCGCCATAGTAATCAGCCTCAGCAGGGCCACAGGGCCTAGATTCTTTGAAACCCTCTGAAGGAAAGGGATTAATTCAGTATTAAAAAACTTAATTTTAAAACAGAACACACACTCTGAGCTTCAGCATGTTTTTGAGACTGGTGCGTCTGGGTGGGGGTCAGCCTAGAAGATGGCAGCCCCTGCTGACGCGGGCTGACTGCGCGGATCCTGCCTCTCAGGTGCTGCCGCTTAAAATAAGCCCTGTGTTTCTAGAAGTTTACTTATTGTTCTTTATTCTTTTTGAACTGCTGTGTGACACAAAGAGGGAGGGAGAAAGAGAGACTGACTGATTTTCCTTTCGCTGGTTCACTCCCCAAATCCCTGTACCAGCCAGGGCTGGGCCAGGCCAAAACAGGAGCCTAGAACTCCTTCTGGGTCTCCTAGGTGGGTGGCAAGGGCCCGAGGACGGGAGCCTCTGCTACCTCCCAGGGGGCGCATTAGCAGAAAGCTGAGTTGGGAGCGGAGGCAGGACCCGATCCAGGCACACCATCAGGAGGCAAAGACTCCACCTGCTGGCCACATGCTTGCTCCTCTTTTCATTTGTAGGGTAAGTTTCTCAGTTGAAAAGCATTTTTCTACTGTACCTAAAATTGCTTTAAAAATTGGCAGGCATCATTTTAAAAGCCAATTTTATTGTCATGTTTTGCCTTCTTCATAAAAGGCTCTAATTTACAGTCTAGAAGATACAGAATACCGTACAATGTGAGATGGCTTACCAACTACAAGCAATGCAGAATCAGGGTAAACAAAAAATTCACACATTGGTTTTGTTCTGACAAATGCATTATGAGCCTTGCACTATTAAAACTGCATTATAAAAAACAACTGTTGTAAGGGAACAAAGGGGTCGCTTCTCGGCCTTTTGGCTAAGATCAAGTGTAGTATTAAGGGCACAAAGGGGAAAGGAGCAATTTCAGAGGGGCTGCTGCTGTGGTGTAGCAGGCTAAGCCTCCGCCTCTGGCACCACATCCTGTGCCGGTTCTTGTCCCAGCTGCTCCTCTTCTATCCAGCTCCCTGCTATGGCCTGGGAAACAGCAGAAGATGGCCCACGTGCTTGGGCCCCTGCACCCGCGTGGGAGACCTGGAAGAAGCCCCTGGCTCCTGGCTTTGGGTCGGCCCAGCTCTGGCTGTTGTGGCCATTTGGGAACAGCGGTTGGAAGACTCTCTCTGTCTCGCCCTCTCTCTGTCTGTAACTCTGCCTCTCAAATAAATAAATGAAAGCTTTAAGAAAAAAAAATAAAAAGCAATTTTCAAAAGAGCTATTATCAAGTTATCACATAATCTGAGTGTCACAGCAAATCCAGTATTGAGTCCCACTGAACTCTGCCCACCCAGGCGGGTGTTTCCTTTGTGCACTGAGCACCCCTGCTGTGATGAGCAGTGCACTGGCCACCCAGAACCTGCGCCCCCTGCAGGTGCCAGCCAACCCAGCAGTGAGAGGCACCAGCAGACAGAGAACACCCGTGTCCCGTCAGACTTCTGCCTACGGCGGGCGTAACAGATAGTAAAATGAGGAGACATCGCTTTCTTGTCTCTCAACCTAAGCAGTTTTAATAGTAAGAATAAAATTTGCAAACTCTGTATGTCTTGCAAGGAGATAATCAGATTCCTCAAGTCAGCACTAGTCCATCCTCAGGGGATAACTCTCCTTCAGCACTGGCAAGCACGCAGCAGACCGTTCTGTGGGACACGTCAAGCCCGCTTCTGGGCTGTGGTGGGTCTGTGACTCCGAGTTCTGACTGGCACAGGGGGCCGCTCACGCACTGCCACCCACACGTGTGATTTAAGTGTGTGTTGATGCCTTATAGCAAGGGCTTAAGAAGCCCACGGGAGTCCCTGGCTGTACTCAGATCACGTTAGTAGTGTTACAGATGAGACCGTGCCACTGACGACTAGCGCAGGAGTCCCACACGGGACTGACTATGAGGGGCGCCACGTAATGTGCAGTGCTGGTCTGCAACGTGGGGGGCCGACTTAGCTAAGACTACACCTCCACCTCACTGGGCCTCTCACAGTAAAACGCCTGGGTCCCAGAGCAGCCAGAGAAGCTTCCGCCACCCTCCTGGCTCAGAGACGGCCAAGGCCACGGAGGACGCTGCCCTGCTGTGCACTGGTGGCGGAGGGTTCCAGGCCCCGCTTTTCTGACATGTGAACGAAACCACAAAGCGTACACTCAGACCTCACGCAACGCGTGGGCTGCCTTGGAAATGAAATGACTTCACTTGACTTCTACACGGATCTCTTCGCACGTTCATTCAAAATTAATGTCGTGGAGGCTCTCTTAATTGGAAGAAAAACAGTTTTTTAAAATGGCAAATTATAACAAGATCAGATATATCTGATCAACAAAAGGAATTTGGCCACTAAGGAAAACACAACAATAGAAAGTTTATACTAAGGGCACTGTAACTACTGTTAGACAAGACTTGCACAGTGTTGTACATGGAAAGCGTACTTCAATGTCTACTTCAGTGAAGAGCTGACAGGCTGCTGGATCACACCGGGATGGCACAGCCATCATAACCTCACAGCACACTGCAAGCTGGATGAAACACCGTGAAACGAATCCTTTCCAGGCCTGGAGGAGAACACCCGCGCCAAGCCCGGGAGCTCAGGGCTCAGTTCTCCCAGGTCCTCTTCTGCACACAGGCAGTCTCCACGAGGTACCAACCTGCATCGCCTCTGCTCTGAAATATGGTCATGGCCTCGAGGTTTAGCGCGCACACCCCCCTCATGAAGGCTTTTTTCATGGAGTCTTCAAAGTGCTCCTTTTCCTGCTGCATTCTCTGAATCTCAGCTTTCGCATTTTCCAAAGCTCCAGATAACTAGAACAAGGAAATAAGAAAATTAGATAAAAGGAAAAGATCTGAGACACCAGGAGGAAATCTGTTAAGACAAGTGCATTGGCAGGGAGCTGGATCAGAAGTGGAGAGCTGGGACCTGAACTGGACTGGTGCCCGTGAGGGATGCTGGCATCGCGAGCGAGAACCTGCTGTCCCACGTGCTGGCCTCGCCTCTACCGTGCCATCAACAATTGTCTTCGTTTTCTAACAGTCCCTTTGAAGTCTGCTGCAATGTCTGGGATGTCCTGCCCTGAACTAACTGGGACAGTAGGAGAACTGTAGCTGTGAGCTGCGGATGCCCTGGCTCCTCAAAAAGTAACTAAGTGCCTGCAATCTGAGCCACCTTCAAAAGTCCATGCTTTCCGCACAGCCAAACTGTGCAGGGAAACGAGGCATGAGATGCCTTCTCACCGACCAGGCCTGAAGGGACTGCATTTTCTGTATGTCCTTTTGAATTGCAGAAAGTCATCTGTATGATGAAATTTATTCTTAGCAGTAAGAGAAGTTAGTGCTATAATGCTGAAACTTTTTAATATTTCATATGCTATAGGAGGGCTATTGCACTCTTCATAAATTCCTCATGTGTTCTATTTCATTTTGGATTACAAATGTTTTCCCACAGAAACCACTTTATTATTAAAAGTCAATGGGGGCTGGCACTGTGGCTCAATAGGCTAATCCTCCACCTGCGGCGCCAGCACCCCGGGTTCTAGTCCTGGTTGGGCGCTGGATTCTATCCTGTTTGCTCCTCTTCCCGTCCAGCTCTCTGCTGTGGCCTGGGAGGGCAGTGGAGGATGGCCCAGGTGCTTGGGCCCTGCACCTGCATGGGAGACCAGGAGGAAGCCCCTGGCTCCTGGCTTTGGATCAGTGCAGAGCACCGGCCATAGCAGCCATTTGGGGGGGGGGGGGACCAACGGAAAGAAGACCTTTCTCTCTGTCTCTCTCTCTCTCACTAACTCTGCCTGTCAAAAAATAAACAATAAATAAAAAAAATTTAAAAAGTCCATGGGAAAATAATTCCAGTTTATACACAATTGCTTAACAGCAAATCTTGTAAGAGTGCAGTTTAGGGGCCACTGCAGTGGTGTAGCAAATGAAGCTGCCGCCTGCAGCTGGCATCCCATGTGGGCACAGGTCTGAGTCCCGGCTGCCCCACTTGGGACGGAGCTCCCTGCAATGTGCCGGGAGAGCAGCAGAGGATGGCCCAAGCGCTCGGGCCCCCGCACCCAGGAAGACCTCTCTCTCTCGGCCTCTCCTTCTCTCTCTATGTAACTTGCCTTTCAAATACATAAATAAATCTCTAAACAGACAAAGGGAACACAGTTTATTTACGTTATCCCAAAAATAAGCATTTTGCTTTTGGTCTTTGTTTTTGGCCACATAAAAACCAAAGACGACGACTGAATATAAACCACAGTGAGTCTACTCTTGTTAACAGGAAGTGAACACTCAGAAAAGTGTACCATCGCGATTCTGGCCTCATAGTCACTGGAGATCTGGACACAGACTTCCTCCGCTCTTGCCTGGCAGGCTCGCTCCACCACGTCTTTCCACCGCTTCTGCACCACGCAGCGCCAGCCCCGCCACACCTTCTTCAGCAGGCTTCTCTGGAAGTACTGGTCGGCCAGCTTGCCTTCATAGACCTAGGGGAGGGCAGCACGTGCATCACAGCACGGGGGCCTGGTCAGCGAGCGGGCAGGAACAGCACACGACCCGTCCGTCCGTCCACGTAAGCGCACACATGACCGTCTAACTTCTGCACACGCAAGCACAGGCTCGGAGAGGGCGGCCGGCAGGTCTCTGTCACGCAGGCTAGGGTCTGTGTCTGACGCTACAGCCGACTTCTTCCTTATCACCCCACTGCTTTATGCAGCTGATCCCACTGGGGGAAAGCAAGCAAGCACACAGAAAACCAGCAACTTGCCAGCTGTCACTTCCGCTGTGGACCACATGACCCCTGAGCTGAGGGGAGCAGCTTCCTGCAAGTGCCCGGCCGAGCAGGGGCGATCTAACCCAGCCCCGGCTGTCCTGAGCGCGACCCCATCCTTGTATCAAAAGAACTCAAATTCTCCTGAAGAGGTAGTTTCAATGCTTGACTTCCTTAAATTTGCCCAAAGTGATGGCAGCACCGAGTATTTTGAAGTCACTGACAAGTAACTTTCCAAATATGGCCTAAGTACTCATTTCAATGTGACTGATGTGGATCTGACTGACTGGGGTTAATGAAACAATGTCAGCACTAGGACGTATTCTCAAAGGAAAAGCTGTGTCATGCTAACAGCTTTCTCCCAAAGCACTTGGACACTACATGCACAGAGACTGCCCGTGGGTCCCACGAGCCACATGGACAGCACCTTGTCTTCATCACCAAGGGCCCCTCTTCTGCTCTCAGGTTTAAACTGTACACTACAAACTAGGGATCACTTCAACAAAGCTGAACACGCATGACTCCCTTCACGTCTCGTTCTAGGAATCTACAACAAACACTTGTACAGTTTTTTATGTCTAAATGTGGTAAAGCCTACGATACATGAAGATAACAGATTCTTGCCGGTCAGATCTGTTATACGGGCTCTGTGATGCCTCTGCACCTCAGGCAGAATCCTCACGCCTACCGTGGAACAGTACACGACGCAGCTCTTGGAACACAGATTTGTGTCACGAAATCTCAGAGCTCTACGAAATCGAACTCTTCTGAAAGAAGAGCAACATTAACACACAGTTCACTGCGGCTGATGAGAGGCAAATCCTTGTCTGACGGCCCCTCCGTTTAGCCCGCCCGTGTCCTCTGGACACTTACGTCCTGCCTGGACTTGACGTGCCCGATGCGCCAGTGGAAGAAGGTTCTCATCAGCTCGATGCGCTCCTTTTGCTTGCCCACGGCGTGCGACAAGCTAGAAATCACCTGTCAACAACAATTGTTCCGATTAACGTGAGAGCACAACAGCAGCAGAGGACAAAGGGATCTTCTCGTCATCCAGGTACATCCAGCACTCATGTATTACAGGTACAATCTGAAATACTAAAAATGACCTCTGAGAGGATGACTGAAAATGTGGGTAACATTGGTACCCTTTTTTTTTTTTTTTTTAATTTGACAGAGTTAGACAGTGAGAGAGAGAGGGACAGAGAGAAAGGTCTTCCTTCCATTGGTTCACCCCCGTAAGTGGCTGCTATGGCTGGAGCTATGCTGATCCGAAGCCAGGAGCCAGGAGCTTCCTCCTGGTCTCCCATGGGGTGCAGGGCCCAAGCACCTGGGCCATCCTCCACTGCACTCTTGGGCCACAGCAGAAAGCTGGACTGGAAGAGGAGCAACCGGGACTAGAACCCAGTGCCCATATGGGATGCCAGTGCCGCAGGCGCAGGATTAACCAAGTGAGTCACGGTACTGGCCCCACCCCTTTTATTTTTAAAAAGACCAAAAAACTTCCCCTGATGGGTCCGCTAAGTCTCCGTGAATGGAGGGCTCCACGCTCACTGTGTGCACCCTGCTAACGGCCACCATGCACTCAGCACAGCTGCTGGCAGTCCAGGAAGCACAACCACACGTGCGAAGCCGGCTGCAGACACAGTCTCTTCGCCAGACTTGCGGGCAGGGCCAGGGTTCAAGCCTCTTCCTGTCCCACTGTGGCCCTGCCTACAGGAGACCCTCAGGAACTGCCTAGTGATTTTCTCAACGCCGTGAGTTTATGAATGCAAGTAATTATTTTATTTTGCTATACTCTTTTCAACACTACTCTTATCTGTAAAACAAAACCCATAAAGGATTTTAAATCTTAATGTTCTCTCTTACCAAGGGCTGATCAACAGATATTTGTGACTAAAAATGGCCACGTTCAAGATTCCTGGTTAGTGTGACACACCCACCAGAAGACATTACTCCTGTTCTTTAAGTAACTATCTGAAGAGGACAGGGCACAGTTCAAAGATGCTGGTCACAGTCTGTTAGAAGAAACTGGCTGGGGGCTGGCCCTGTGGTGCAGTGGGCTAAGCCTCTGCCTGCAGTGCTGCCATCCCATATGGGCACCAATTTGTATCCTGGCTGCTCCTCTTCCGATCCAGCTCTCTGCTAAGGCCTGGGAACACAGTGGAGGATGGCCCAAGTCCTTGGGCCCCTGCACCCACATGGGAGACCCAGAAGAAGCTCCTGACTTCGGATCGGCACAGCTGTGGCAGTTGTGGCCATTTGGAGAGTGAAATCAGCAGATGGAAGACCTCTCTCTCTCTCTCTGTAACTCTGCCTCTCAAATAAATAAAAACCGTAAAAAACACACACACACACACACTCACTCACACACACACTGGCTGGATTCTGTTTTTTCTAAGACACTGGCTAGGTTCCATTTCTTCTAAGATACTGGCCGTGTACTACTGTAAGACACTGGCTGTGTTCTGCTAAAAGACACTGGCTATCTGTTTCTCAACCCAGATAACAAAACATGGCTGTCTTACTTTTTGCAAACTGAAAACCTGATATGTACACTTTTTATATGTGATGCTTAAAAATTAAAAAAAACACTTCAAAATATATAAAAATCTTAGGTTTTGAGGGAAATGAAGAAAATGACACAGCAGCTGCTGCCTCAGGAAAGCAAACCAGGTAAAAGCCCAATTACGAGTCTATAAAGCTGAAGGAGGGTGTGGGGCTGACAACTGGCTTACTGGTTACTGGGGCTGCTTCTGCTTCCCCAGCCCTCTGATTGCAGCCACGCTGCTGTCCTGACCAGTGTGCCACTCAACCACCGCCTCTGTCAAGGTGCTGTCAGGAGGAAAAACAGCACAGTTCTGAACGACACACTCCAGTGCTTAGGAGGCCAACATAAAATGAAATAAAAGGTATTTCCTGAGTTTATCAATAAAATGAACACTCATGTATTACAGGTACAATCTGAAATACTAAAAATGACCTCTGAGAGGATGACTGAAAATGTGGGTAACATTGGTACCCTGGTGTTCCGTCAAGGGCAGTTTGAGAAAAAAAAAAAAGATTCCTAAAAAATGAGACTATATGAGCCAGTGACATCACACTGCTCAACACCTACAAGACCAGGGTCAGTGACATCACACCACACAACACCAAGACCACCGGGGTCAGTGACATCACACCACACAACACCCAGACTGCCGGGGTCAGTGACATCACACCACACAACACCCAGACTACCGGGGTCAGTGACATCACACTGCTCAACACCCAGACTGTCGGGGTCAGTGACATCACATGCTCAACACCTACAACACCAGGGTCAGTGACATCACACCGCTCAACACCCAGACAACCAGGGTCAGTGACATCACTCTGCTCAACACCCAGACTGCCGGGGTCAGTGACATCACACCACACAACACCCAGACTGCCGGGGTCAGTGACATCATACCACACAACACCCAGACTGTCGGGGTCAGTGACATCACACCACTCAAAACCTACAACACCAGGGTCAATGACATCACACCACTCAACACCCAGACTGCCAGGGTCAGTGACATCACACCGCTCAACACCCAGACTGCCAGGGTCAGTGACATCACACTGCTCAACACCCAGACTGCCAGGGTCAGTGACATCACACTGCCCAACACCTACAACACTGGGGTCAGTGACATCACATCACTCAACACCCAGACCACCAGGGTCAGTGACATCACACCGCTCAACACCCAGACTGCCAGAGTCAGTGACATCACACAACATTTAGAACGCTGGGGTCAGTGACATCACACTGCTTGTCAGCCAGGTAAACAATCCTTTGGCCGTGCCTGCACTGTCCCATCAGTGTTTGAAAGGAGTCTTCCTTTGGACTCTTTTGTGAGCTGAATAACCATTCGTTCCTGGAATTCAGTATCTAGCCAGACAGTTGCTGAATCTGTTAGAAAGGAAAGAGACCTCATCTTTCCTCCCGAGGGAGATTTCAAAGGCTCTGTGCAGCTCCTGCAGGTCGCTGATCTGGTCGTTCAGTTGTTTCAAATGGGCCGCATGCTTTTCTTTTTCTTTTTTCATTTCCATTCGGTGCCAGTCGATAAAATTAAGTCTCCATTTACTCAGTTCAGAAATGATATTTGTCTGAAAAACAAATATGCTGCCAACTAAATGGCTGGTTTGTTAACACCTCTTACAACTCCAAGAAGGCTAAGAAACACTAAACAGTACTGGAATGAGCAATCAACACAGGAGTGGTAAGACTCGCAGGCACTAGCTGGCCCACCACCACACCAGGGCCACGACTGTTCCCTGTGTTACAGTGCTCTGTATGAAACCTTGTTGTCATTTAGGAAAAATTTCAGGCTTCACTCACCAAGTCCCTCTGTTTATCCAAGGACTTAAACGTTCACATGAAGATGGGCCAGGAGGGCGGCTGTGGTGGCCCAGCACTAAAAGCCACCGCCTGGGAGGCCCATGTCCAGTAAAGGAGCGACAGAGCCTCGGCTCCTCCACTTCTGATCGCTTCCTGCTGGTGCCCTGGGACGCAGCAGGTGATGGCCTGAGTGCCGGGTGCCTGCCATCCAAGCGGGAGACCTGGACTGAACTGCTGGCACCTGCCTTTGGCTTGGCCCAGCCCTGGCTGTTGCAGGCATTTGGGGAGTGAACCAGTGGATGGAAGACCTCTTTCTCTCTGTGTCACCTTGCCTCTCAAATAAATAAGTAAGCCTTAAAAGAAAAAAAGACACCAGGAAACCACGCAGGACACCTGGCGGGGGCCGGGCTGTTGATGGCCAGGAAGCTCTGCAGACACAGAGGCAACGGGAGCCGGCAAGGTGGGCACGTGGTCCCCACACCAGGGACCCCGTGGCCACCTACGGCCAGTCGCGAGTCCTCTCAGCCTCCGTGGCTGGCACGGGTCATGTCACCTGAAGACAGAAGGTTCTGCGTGCTGGTGGCTGACGCTTCAGGGAGCGTGAAGCCCGTTCCCAGGGGAGGAAAGGGGACACTGTGGCGAGGGAATCTCTAGAAGTGAGGGTTCCAGCTGGGGAGAAACAAGTCCCGCAGAACTCACACGGCTCTCACTCTCCATGTACGTGAACATTCAGCTTCTTCAAAGTGTTTTGGAAAAACCATCATTTTCTCCATTCCAACAGGTTTTTAATATACTTGTTTAATATTAAAGACAGAAAGACACAGAGACACAGATGGAGAGAGATCTCCCACCTTCTAGTTCACTCCCCAAATGCCTCCAACAGCCAGGAGTCGGGAACTCAATCTGCGTCTTCCACATGGGTGGCAGGGACCCAAGCATTTCCCCCATCACTAGCTGCTTGCACGGTGCACACTAGCAAAAAGCTGGATTGGAGGCGGAGGTGCTGGGACTCAAACCAGAAACTCAGAGAAAGGTTGCGCGTCCCCAAGTGGTGACTTACCTGCTGAGCCAAATGCCTAGCCCCACTTTTTCTACATGGCAAACAGACTAGCCATCTCTGCAGGACGCGGCCCAGTAGAGGCCAGCGACAGCACTCAGTACTCAGGACGCAGCCCATCAGAGGCCAGCGACAGCCCTAAGTACTCAGGATGCGGCCCATCGGAGGCCAGCGACAGCACTCAGTACCCAGGACACGGCCCATCGGAGGCCAGTGACAGCTCTCAGTACCCAGGACGCGGCCCATCGGAGGCCAGCGACAGCTCTCAGTACCCAGGACGCGGCCCATCGGAGGCCAGCGACAGCACTCAGTACCCAGGACGCGGCCCAGTAGAGGCCAGCGACAGCACTCAGTACCCAGGACGCAGTCTACTGGAGGCCAGCGACAGCCCTCAGTACCCAGGACGCGGCCCATTGGAGGCCAGCGACAGCCCTCAGTACCCAGGACGCGGCCCATCAGAGGCCAGCGACAGCCCTCAGTACCCAGGACGCGGCCCAGTAGAGGCCAGCGACAGCACTCAGTACCCAGGACACGGCCCAGTAGAGGCCAGCGACAGCCCTAAGTACTCAGGACGCGGCCCAGTAGAGGCCAGCGACAGCACTCAGTACCCAGGACGCGGCCCACTGGAGGCCAGTGACAGCCCTCAGTACTCGGCAGCATGTGTGCCTTACCGCCGTTCGCGTGGTTGCTGCAGGGGCAGCCACACGAGGGACGCACACGGCTAACCCTGCACCTGCGGCTTCACAGTCCCAGCTGTCAGTGCAGGCCGAGCTTTCCGCGCCCGAGCAGCCACCCAGCGCAGTCGCACGGCTGAGCGCCTCCCGGCTGCACACGTGGCCTGACACAGACGCTCGCTCTGAGCCAGAGCTGGGCCGCAGGAGCCCCGTGCGAGTCCGTGCAGGATAAGGACCGAGCAGCGCAGTGCCGACACGGAACTGACTTCCCAGGAAACTGAACATCGATGCTTTTTAAATTCAAAGGGCAGAACGCTCAGCTGGATCACGGGAAACCCCACTCCACGGACCGGCGGCGACCGGAACCGAGTCGCTGCAGTACCTTGAGACCCGAGCTCCAGAGATCCAGCACGCTTTCCACCTTCTGCAGGTTTTCCTCCGAAACAAGGAAGTCGCCCACGACGACTTCCCGGGCTTCCGTGTGACTAGAAGTAGACCCTGGGGAGGAAGAGTCGCCCAGGAGATGCGAACTGAAAAAGTCCATGACCGGGTGAGATGCCTTCCTTGGCGACAGAGCCGGTGACGACCCTGGAAGAAAGGAGAGGTTGGGAATGGCCCGCCCTGGCAAGGAGTCGAGCAGGAAGGCTCTAAGATTTCTGCTACCTACAGAGGCTGAGAAAAAAGTGCAGGAATTCCCATTCAGCTGTGCCTTGGTCTGGCTACTTTGGTTTCAGTGTTGCCGGGATCAGGCTTGACTGGCACGAGAGGCCGCCCACACTCTGCCTTGTGGCAGCGAATGACTGCCAGCCCCAGTAAGGATGCTCGCATAGCCTGAGCCCCGGCGTCATCACCCGCCCCATCGCAGCAGCGCCAGCCGAGTGCCTGCACGGCTCCCGATCCAGAGTCCAGGGCTTGCTCGGCCAGGCCTGGGAGGCTGAGTGGCCAGTGGTGTCAGAGCTCGCACACAGCCGTGCTGCCTCGCAACGGGCACTGGGGCACGCCTCACGCGACTGCAGATGCACAGCACACAGGGAGCACTAGTGGAGCGCTGTGTCAGATACTCCAAGGCAGCCCGTGCGTCTCCGCCAGCAGGGGAGAAGCACACACCGGCACGCCCGTGCCTCTCGCCCCTGTGTGTACGCAGGGCTGCATCTGTTCTGACAGTGCAAGACGCCAAGGCCAGGACTTCACCGCAGGTTCCTGCTGCAGGCCCTCCTCATGTGGCCCAGGTCCTGAGACAAGATGGAAGGGCCTTCCCCTCTGCACTGAAGGAATCCCTCAGAGACTACACAGACCTGTCACTCAGGGTGCATCGCTCAAGAATTCCTTGCAAAAGGGAAAATCATTCCTTCATCTCTGCTTGGCACAAAAAGCCCAACACAAGGCTTGGGCCGGCCACACCAGGAGACCCGCCCTGCACACGTGTGTTCTGAGGACGGCTCCGGAACCGCGAGGGCATGGTGGACAACACGCATGCACGCCCTTCCCTGGGCTCCACCAACCAGACCTGTGCTCGCGAGAAAACAGAGCCTTGAGCTGGAGAGCTCAGAGGGCCAAGGAGAAGACACTGCCAGGGCTTCAGTCCCAGGCGAGGAAGCTGAAGGAGAGGCCTTCCCAGGATGGGACCACACTCCATGACACGCATCACACAGCAAGACAAGCACCCTCACTACGCCAAGGAAAACGTCTCAGTCTGGTTCTAGGACGCGCTCAAACCACTTTCACCTTACTTAAAGGGCAGAGAGAACGACCCTTCATCCGCTGTTCACTCCTCAAACCGCTCAACACCAGAGCGGGGGCAGGCAGAAGCCAGGAGCCTGCAACGCACTCTGGTCCTGCCAGGTGGCTGGTGGAGACCCCGCACCCACTTGCTGCAGCAATGCAACACCTGCGTCCACAGACCGTGAGGAACCACAGGCCCCAGAGCCGTGACCCGGGCGCCTGTCCCCCCTCACTGTCTGTAACTCTGCCTCTCAAGTAAATAAATAAATCTTAAAAAAAAAAAAAACACAAAACCCAACACTAAATGATAGAACAGGTGACGTGGAGGCGAGACGAAAATCATCACGTGGTGTGCAAATGCCGAGAGCTAGGAAACAGCGCTTTGCCGAGAGCCCAGTAAGCCTGACAACGCTCGCCCTCCGCCTCGGCAGTTCTGAGCAGGACGCCACAGGTTCTGACGCACTAACTCGTGGGAACCGCTCCATTTCAGAATCTTAAATATTATCACCTAAACTGGCAACACTGACACTTAAAAATCCTGCCAGTAAGCAGTACACTGAAATCACTCCTCTAACTGCAGAGATAATATTCATTAAAGTGCCGTACGTTGTACATAAATGAAAGCAAGCCAAGGAAAAGCCATACCGTCTGTCTTTGAGTTATTTAAATCACTCTTTTTTCCAACTTCCATCCCAGTTTCTCTTATCACAGGGTTGTTTCCTGCCAAAAAGGAAAGTATTTTTCAGTTAAATGGAGCTGCTCTTCACACACCTGTTGCATGTTTTAAACTCAAGTCCTTTTGGAAAAGGCTGAACACATATACTATCTTACGGGAGGAAACAGCCGCGTCCTAAACCCCAGTGATGACCTGGAAACGCCGGAGAGCTGGGGTGAGGAACGCAGCCCGAGCCGTGTCCCTGGGAACCGCGGAACAGCCGGAAGGAGACAAGCTTCCAGCGGCCCTAGGCAATTCTGATGTGCTTACTTCAGTTCAGGAGAACGAGCAGGGACCCCATGTGGAGGCCCCCTGTGTAATCAAATCACGACCAAGATCAGTGCCGGGGCAGGGGGCACTAAACCCCAGGTTCCTATCTCTGAGTACGCTGGTTTTCTGAAGGTTCTGGAGCCACAAGCCCATACGCTACTCCAAGGCAGCTGGCCAGACTTGGCAGCAATGAAGCACCTGCGTCCACAGACCCCAGGGCCGTGACCCCGGGAGCCCAGCAGCCTCTGGCACTGGGCAGGCCATGACCCTGGCAGCTGTGCCTCTGGTGTGACCACCGCCATCCTGCGCAGAGAAGGCTGCCTGGGCCTTGCACTTTATGACTATGGAAAGGGTGGGTAAAGGAACTTCATCCTGCTTTCACCTCCACCACCCCCCAGCCGACAGCTGCCTGTGTCAGCGCTCCATCCTGTGGCTGACACGGCCCACGCCTGGGGCCACCTGAGTGAGGCCAGCTCAGGCAGTGCTCCAAGCCCGGACAACCGTGCTGACAAAGTACCAGAGTGTGTTCTGAGGGTCACTGAGGACCACCTTAATTCTGGGCATGGGCATCGAGTTTTCAAGACAATCCTGGCATCAAACCAGGAGCAGGAGCGGAGAAGCAACACATTCCGCTGAGACCGCACCTGTGGCAGTGCTGTGTTACCTCTACTTTTTCTTAAAGATTTATTTATCTGAAAGGCAGAGCTACAGAGAGGGAAGACAGGAGAGGTGAGAGGAGTGGGGAGGAGAGAAGACACAGAGAGGGAATCTTGCATCTGCTGGCTCACTCCTGAAGTGGCTACAACTGCCAGGTCTGGGCCAGGTGCAGGGGCCCAAACACTTGGGGCCATCTTCTGCTGCTTTCCCTGGCTCACAGCAGGGAGCTGGGTCAGGAGTGGAGCAGCTGGGACTTGAAATGGCGCCCATGTAGGATGCTGGTGTCACAGGTGGCAGCCCTAGTTCTACTGCTTTTCATAAAATGAAGTTCACATAAAAAGTTGGGTATCTCATCATCATCTCAGGGCCAGGAGTAATACCGAAAAGTGTAAGGCTCCCTCGGTGACACTGACACACGTCAATGATGGTGGAGAGGCGTCCTCCCGATCCTAAGGCAGCTTCATTCATAAGCCCCATAGCGAACTCAGAGATTTCTCAAAAGATATACACAACCTTGATGATGAAGGATGCCACCAGCTGCAGCAGAAATTCTCGTATCGGGCGCCCCTTCTGCCCGGGGGTGAGACGCCGCAGACGCGCCGGAGTCGGCCGGGGGATTCATGATGGCGTAGCGCAGCAGCTCCTCGTACTCCTCCTGCGGGAGGCCAGCAGTCAGGGCCGCTCGCAGCACTCGCAAGCGCCAGCGGCCCCGCGTCAACCTCAGCCCAGCAGCCGTCATCCCACTGCTGCTCCAGTTTGCAGGAGACAGATTTTGTTAGTGAGTCAACACAGTGAACAGTGTTTAATCTTCAGGTCAGTGTGACTCAAGATGAGACAAGCTGTTAACAAGCCACAGGTTTTAAGTACTTACAAAGTATCAGAATCTTTTGACAGTACGTGGCCCAAACACATGGAGGCACCACGGACAGCGAGGCTGCATTGCCTCTGCCCTACTCGCCTGCTCAGCACTGTCCAAGGCAGAGCCACGGACTCTGTGAGAGGCACACCACACAGCTCGAACTTACACACTGAACCTAAACCTAACAGCTGTAGTTCTGCCTAAATCTGCTTTTTATATTGTTAGTTGAAGTACAACTGTTTGAAAAAGCAGTACCTGTTACTGTGTGTGTGAAGGCTGCTAGTCTGTAGGACAACTGGATGTCAGGTGTAGCGTGGTAAGCCACAGCACGGAAATCCACGTCCACGTCACGTCCTGTGTCCTGCTCATGTGCCTGGGAGGCAGCAGATGACAGCCCGAGTCTTTGGGCCCCTGCACCCATGTGGGAGACCCAGAAGCTCCTGGCTGCTGATCAATGAAAGTCAGAGTTACAGAGAGAGAGCTCTTCCATCCGCTGGTCCACTCCCCAACTGGCCGCAACAACCCGGGCTGGACCAGGCGGAAGCCAGGAGCCTCTTCCAGGTCTCCCACAGGGTGCAGGTACCCAGACAGCTGGACCATCTTCTGCTTTCCCAGGTGCATTAGCAGGGAGCTGGACTGGAAGTGGAGGACCAGGACTCAAACCACCGCCCATATGGGATGCTGGTGCTGCAGGCTGGGGTTTCACATGCTGCACCAGAGCGCCGGCCCACTATTTTATTCTTAACATCACTCGTGGCATCGACATGGACAACATCCCCAGATAATGCTATTATAGGGAAGGGAGACAGGCTTCCAACTTGGTCCAGGAGCCAGTACAGACCAAGCTGAGGGCTACTGACAAACGGACTCTGAACGCTGCTGACATGGTAAGAAGGTGATCAGTGACACAGATGACTTCTGACGGGTCTGGAAAATTCCTCCCCACCTCCCTCCATTTCACTCTGGGGATCTGGTCTTTGGATTTCAAGCTTCGTCTCTTAATGAGAAGACAACTGGAGGCCTCACGAGTGTTCCCATTTCAGTGCGAACGTATGGGCAGTTTTTGAATAACCTGCACAGAGAGTGAGGGTGCAGGAACACAGCAGGGCGTGGGCGAGCTGCCATCACGGGGAGGCGGGGGTGGGCTGCTTCATCCTGGGAAACCTTCCCAGTTTCTACGTCTACAAGTTCAATTCAAACGACACTGCTTTCATAAGACGTTTCTGAAGCTTCTCACGTCGCAGCGTCAGCCACTCTGCTTGGACGGGACACGACGTCCAGCCTTTCGCCTCTTAGGTGATGTAGCTAACTACACGCCTAGGCTAACCCGTCAGTACCTCTCCCGCTCTTGAGGATGGCGCGTCGGGAGGAAAATCAGCAAAGCCCTCTGCAGCCAGCCCCTCTGTCCACCTGCGCTGTCAGGAGTGTCCTGGCGACGGGGCGGAGCCTCCCAGGTGAGAACTCAGGGGCCGGGGTTCTAGAACTCGGGCGGGCTGACAGTGCTCTTACACGTGACAGCGGCACGTGTCGATGCAGGATTCTTCCTTCCAGAAAAAGTGCCTGAAATACCTATCTCCTCTCTGTGCGCTGAAGCCTCCTCGCACGGTGTCTGAAGGGCTCCTGACTGCGTTCTGGGAGCCGCGCACAGTGACCTCCCCGTCTGGAAGTAACCGCGAGGCTTGGTATCACTGGAAACCCGAGGGCGGCTTTGTGCGTGGAAGGAATGAGAGGAAATGCATCGCTACTTTTCCTCGACGCCGCCCTGTTTGAAGTCAAAGTCACAGCAAACGGAGACACCGCTGCCTACCTGGAGTTCTGTGGAGACGGAGCTGCCCGCGTCCGAGTTACTCTGCATAGCCGGGAGTGAGTATTTGTCCTCTTCCGATGACATTCTGCACAGCGCTACAACACACAGGCGGCCGCCTTAGCTTTCCCTCGGAGCGAACCCAAGGGACAGTGCTCCGCAGATATGCAAGTACAACCTTCCCTGGGCACGCCGAGGGCCGGCAGCAAAGGCCAGGGCCAGGAGGAGGGAGAGCCGGCGCCGAGCGGCGGGAGGCACACGGACACGCACTCAGGAGGAGAGACCAGCAGGTGCGCACAGAGCGTCCTGGGGGCGACACCGAGGGGGAAAGACCAGCAGGTGCGCACAGAGCGTCCTGGGGGCGACACCGAGGAGGAGAGACCAGCAGGTGCGCACAGAGCGTCCTGGGGGCGACACCGAGGAGGAGAGACCAGCAGGTGCGCACAGAGCGTCCTGGGGGCGACACCGAGGAGGAGAGACCAGCAGGTGCGCACAGAGCGTCCTGGGGGCGACATCGAGGAGGAAAGACCAGCAGGTGCGCACAGAGCGTCCTGGGGGCGACACCGAGGAGGAGAGACCAGCAGGTGCGCACAGAGCGTCCTGGGGGCGACACCGAGGAGGAAAGACCAGCAGGTGCGCACAGAGCCTGCCCGGTGCCGGCCGGCGCCGTCCCTCCGGGGACTGCCTCTCGGGACTACTCCTGCGAGAAAGGACTTCAGACAGGGCTTTCAGCAACAAGGAAACGCGTTCCTTCAAGGCGACAGCTGCCTGTGTCCCGGGAGCTCGTCTGCCCAGGGAGCCAGCGGTGTAGACCACACCCGTGACCGACACCCTAAGGAGTCAAGGCTGGGGCAGGGGCAGCCCCCTTTGTGGCTGGGGTGGCAGGGGCGCGAGGAGGGGGCGGCGGGCAGGGAGGCCCTGGGGCACGCGGGGCCCGAGTCCAGCCCGCGCCGCAGACGGCTGCGCACTGGCTGCGGATTAAAGCGGACGCCGCCGCCGCCGGACGCGGCCGCCCCGTTACCGGAGTTACGGCGGTGACGCCGCCGCCTGGCACGACCGGCCCACCACCCTCGGGGATGCCCCTGACCGCGCATCGGCGCGTCTCCCCGCACGTCCCCCGCGCGCGCGCAGACCCTCGGGGCCCGAGCGCCAGCACCGCGCCGTCTGCGGGAGACCCCGCGCCAGCGGTCAGGCTCCCGCGCACGTGGGAGGAGCAGCGCCCTCGGCTTCCGGCGAGTCGGCGGTCAGGGGCCAGGCCTGCGCGGGCGAGCGCGGCCACCGCCGGACCCCCTGGCCCCCGAGGGGACGCAGCTCGGGGCCCCGCACCGCGGGCCGCTCCCGCACACCAGGGAGCGCAGCGCACCGGGATCTGCCCGCCCGCCCCGAGTCCGCGCCGCAGGCCCTGAGGCTCCGACCGGCTCCTCCCCGGGGTCGCCCCGACCCCCCGCGCCGGCCGCGCACCCTCACCAGGCCCCGCCGCCGCCGCCGCCGCCCGTCCGCCGCCGAGGACTCCAACGACAGCCGCGGGCACCGGCCCCGCCCAGCAACGCGTCCCCTGATTGGCCTGGATGCGGGGCGGGGCGCCGCCGCGGGGAGAAGCCGGAAACGCGGGTGCACAAAGTCCCGCCCCCTGCGCCGCCGTTCCGAGGGGCGGGGTTTCGGGGAGCCGGGCGGGGCGCTCGGGGCGGGTCCGCACATGCTCAGTGATGGCCGCGGCGGGGCAGGGTCGGGCCCAGTGGGCGGGATTTAATGAAGCCCCGCCCAGGTCGGCCTTGCCCGCCGGTCCTTAGCGTCGGCCTGCGGCTGCGCCGTTACGAGGGGGCGGGGTCTCGGCTCAGGATGGGTGTGCGCATGCTCAGTAGCAGTCGCGGCGTGGCAGGTGCGGCCGCAAGAGGCTGGTTGTCGGGAGCTCCCCGGCCGGCCCCCGGGCGTTCTGCGATGCGCCTGCGCGGGAGGCGAGCCCGGGGCGCCCGCGAACTAGGTGCTACGAGCAACAGCTTCTCGAAAGCGCGGTGCTAAGCCCCGGGCGCGGCCGTCGGCGCGGTGGTGGTTCCCACACGGGCCCGCGGTCCCCCGTGGAGAGGTCGCCAGCCTGGCCCTTCCTGGCGCGTGGGGCGCGGTGCGGAGATGGAGACCTGGAGGCGGCGGGCCGGTCCTCTCCGGGGAGGGGGTGCTTGCGCAGCGCCGTCCTTGGGGAGGCCTGGGTCCCACGGATCCAGCCTCGCCTTCCCCGAGGTCCCTCCCCGACGGCCTGGTCGCCGGCGCGGACCGCGCCTGATCGTTCGCGCCCCGCCGCGGGAGGCGAGCGCGCCGGCTGCTGTGCTGCAGCGTGGGGCCCGCGGAAGAAGGCGGGCATCACGCACGCCTAAGCAGCGGGGACGGGGTGCGGGGAAGGAGGGAGCCGGCGGCGCGGGCCCTGCCCTCCCCCGCCGCCCGCCGCGCGCCCGAGTACCTGGGGACAGGCGCTGCTGCCTGGGCTCCGCAGGTGCGGGCGGGGCGGTCACGCAGGTCCCGGCGCTTCACGCGCTCCGTAGGAGCCGCGCAGCCGGCCTGCGTCGGGGTGACCAGCAGCCTGACGCCACAGAGCCGCCCGAGAGGGCCGCGCCCCCCGGCAGGCCACAGCCCACGTGCGGCCCGACCTCCCCCTGCTGGTGTGCACCCTGGCAGGCAGCACGTGGGGCTCCACACCCGGGTCCCTGCAGGCCTCGGGGGACACCAGGTTGAGTCCCCGGCGCTTGCTGTTGCGAGTGAGCCAGTGGGTAGGAGGGTGGTGCCCGGCTGTGCAGGACTTGCTCAGGGTTGAGGTTGTACCCACTGTGCTTGTTCAGCAGGCACCAGACGGGTGGCAGGGGAGATGGGAGAAGATGGGGCTGAGCTCCGTGCAGCTGGACTTGGGGACTCGCAGGCGCGCTCCTGAGGGCGGTAGGGCAGTGTCCAGGCGAGCCGTGCCCGCGCCCGGGTCTGTGGCCTAGGAGGCGGGCGCTGGTGGACGAGCAGACTGAAAGGGGAGGAGCAGCCTGCTTTAACCGTGACAGTGGCGGTGGACTCCACTCGGGTAGCACATCTGGAGCTTGGGGGCGAGGCAGGGGCCGGGCTGTCAGCTGGGCGCTCCCACCGGGATCCCAGGAGGGCTGCGAGGCTGGGCGTCCGATGCGGCGGCATGAGCTCACAGCTCTCACGTGCTGCCCTGCGGGGTGTCTGCAGGCAGAAGCTTGGGAGATGCTGTGTCAGTGACCTGGCTTGCTCCAGCCCTCTGTGACAACCATGGCAACACCCTGAGGCTGGCCCCCAAGACGCGTGCAGTGGAGCCAGGATGCCCTCCTGGACCAGCCTGCACCCATCTGACGCCCAGCCAGGTGTGGGAGCCAGCCGAGGACAGCAGGGACGCCCGGCCGCCAGCCTGCCCAGCAGCACTGCCTTAGTACTGATTGCTCAAAGCCACCCTGTCTCAGGCTGGACTAACTAACTGTGGCGTAAGATAATGCACAGAAAACAATTTATTTTTTAAAGATTTATTTTATTTATTTGAAAGGCAGAGTTTCAGAGAGAGAAAGAGAGGTAGAGATCTTCCATTTGCTGGTTCACTCCCCAGATGGCCACAGTGGCCGGAGCTGGGGCGATCCGGGGCCAGGAGCTTCTTCCAAGTCTCCCACGTGGGTGCAGGGACACAGGCACTTGGGCCTTTGTCTACTGCCTTCCCAGGCACATTAGCAGGGAGCTGGATTGGAAGTGGAGCAGCTGGGACTCGAACCAGTGGCCGTATAGGATGTTGGCATTGCGCCCACTATACCACAGTGCTGGCCCCAATAAATGCATTCCATTTTTCTACAAACTTTTGGGAGTAGCTTCATAGTGTGTATTTAAAGTATAAGGAGTATTTTGTAGAATGTTTGCCTTTTAGAATTTTTAATAATAAGAAAAAAAGCAAATACACAATACCAGATCACTCACTCAAAGGTCATTTACATTTCAGAAACACACCAGAGGAAAACAAAATTTTTGCATTTCTCATGTGTTCTCTTTTTCATTAAAATACAGAAGACAAAGGATCCTAATAGTATGTAAAACAAGTCCTATCATATACCTTTGGCTCTGTTCTATAAGAAGTTTTAATCGTTGGTAGAATTTTATATATTTTGCCTGGCTGGCGTTGTGGCGCAGCTGGTTAAGCCGGCACTTGCAAGGCTGGCATACCACACTGGAGCACCAGTTTGAGTCCTGGCTGCTCCGTTTCTGACCCAGCTCCCCGCTAATGTGCCTGAGAAGGCAGTGGAGGGTGGCCTGAGCGCTTGGGCCGCTGCACCCACGTGGGAGACCCGAGTTGGGTTCCGGACCCCTGACTTGGGCCATTGTGGCTGTTTGGGAAGTGAACCAGCTGGTGAGAGATCTCTGTCTCTGTCTCTCTGTAACTCTGCCTTTCAGATAAGTAAAAGAAATCTTGAAGGAAAAGAAAAAGCACACAGCATTTTGGGTTGGTCGTTGCTCAGCTGGTTGATTTTATTTTCCCAAGGTACGAGGGTGTGAAAAGTCCACCTGAGCTGCTGTCACAGTGATTGTAAGCTGGGTGCTTCGTGTCTCCCAGCCCTGGAGGCTGAGTCCCAGCCAGCACCTCTGGGCCATGGCCTTGCTGCTTCTCCCGGGGACACAGCCCCTGCCCTTGCCCCCGACCTCACCTCTCTCCCGGGGACACAGCCCCTGCCCCTGCCCACGTCCTCACCTCTCTCCAGGGTAGACATCCCCTGCCCACGTCCTCACCTCTCTCCCGGGGACACTGCCCCTGCCCACGTCCTCACTTCTCTATAGGGGACATAGCCCCTGTCCCTGCCCACGTCCTCACCTCTCTCCCAAGGACATAGCCCCTGCCCCTGCTCACAACCTCACCTCTCTCCCGATGTTATGGGATGCACAGAGTAAAAGCACAGTAAGACCTTGCAAAAGGTCAAATTAGGAGTCTTTATCAGCCAGCTGGCGACTGCTCTCTTGCAGAGCAAGTCTGGAGAAGGCAGCCCCGAGTTGCAGTGGCGGCGGGGGCGGGGGGTTTAAAGGTAGAAACTACATCTTGGTGGCCTTGGCCATTATCAAGCAAGCAGGCAAGCGGAAGTACGAAGCCAGAAATGTGCCAGTTGCAGCCAGAGGAGCAGACTGGTATCTGTAACTTGTTTCTCTCAGGGAACACTCCCTGCTCTGAAGCAAGATAACCTATAACCACGCAGGCAGGCCACGTCCCATGAAAAAAGCCTCAAAGCACCCTGTCACACCGAGGGCACTGCCCCTGCCCACGTCCCTTCTGCCCTCCTCAGTGCACCAGTTGCTTTGAGAAGGTGCCACCTCCTGCCCCAGTCTCCCTGTCACCTTGGGCACAGGACTGCATTGGGGTGGGGGCACAGGCACCAGACCACGGCACTGTGTTTGAAGAGTGGTGCAGCAAAACCCAAGAGCTGCTGGCTCTTTCTAAAGTTTATGCACAAACCCTGCAGAATTCTAAGGAACACACACCAGGAACATACTCTCTGAAGTAAGGTTGCAAGATGCCGTCACAGCCCTGTCCCGACTGTCATTAAGCTGATCACAGCACAGCTGAAATGGGCAGAAAACGTGCAGTACAACAGCAAGGCTTTTGCCACGAGGAGCGCAGAGCCGGGCTCTCTGAGACCTGCGCCCTTGGCAAGGCCCGCCCCCCAGAGCCACACTTGCCTGTGGTTGGTCGGCCGTGATTCCCTGGGGCTCCTCTCTCTAGTGTGCGCTGTGCACTTTGCTCATCACTCTGTCACGGGTTCCTGCTGGCCTGATCATGGTGTGCGCTCGGCCTGGGCAGGCACGGTG